ATGTGCTTTCATTGGACACTGTGAAACAGGTGATATGTCGTGCAGTGATACACAAGATCTCAGTTCTTTGCTAGGATATACTCAGGGGGATCTTAGGATCATGGCATCCATGAAAACATTGATATGCCCTGTTTTCATCTTTAAGCACATTGATTTATGTTTGAGATAGCATCGTCTGTGTCACAGGCTGGCTACCCTGACACTCTCACCCTCTTTCCTCACTTAGTGGTGAAGCTGAGTCCCGGAACTAGAGCTGTGTATCACTCCACCCAGATTTTATGTGATGCTGGGGATAAACCCGAGAGCTTTGTTTAGGAGAGGCAAGCAGGCTTCTAGCTGAGCTAAATTCCTACAGCAAGACCCACTTTCAGTAGAGAGCATGGTTGTCCCGCCAAGTCACCGGCCGCCTCAGCTGTAAGTTCATCTCAGCATTCATGACAGCACCATGATTCTCAGGGCTTTTCTCAGCCAGTGCCTGAGTACAGCAGAGTATGAGCAGTCTGACAAACAGCGTGGCCCGGTGTCTCCTTTGTTCCTTTCCTGGATGTCAGAGTGTGCCAAACTCTCTGAAGCAGCTCCTTGCTTTGTACAGTTCACTCTGTGTCTCCCACATGTTTTTCCCATGGAAAACTCTTGCACTCTGTATTGAGTTGTTAGAGATGTCACTAGGAAGTGCCCCAGGCAGAGTTAGTTAAGCAACAGACATACAGTAACTCAGTTCTAGAGGCTGGGCACTCAAAAGTGCTGGTATTGACATGGTTGGTTCATTCTAAGAGCTGTGAAGGAAGGATCTTATTTAGTCCTGTTTGCTTAACTTATGATCTTATTTTCATACAAGCCTATGGGAGTCATGGAGAGGAAAGTGGTAGTTGGACTACGAATGACTTCCATGGGCTCATATATATATTTTAGTGTTTGGTTCCTAGTGGACTGTTAGGAAGGATTAAGAGGTTTTGCCTTGCTGGAAGAAGAGTGTCACTAAGGGTGGGCTTGGAGGTTGCAACCCACACCTGTCCCATTGTCTCTGCTCTTCCTATTGCCTGTTGGTCAGGAGGCAAGCTCTCAGCTACTGCGCCAGTTTTATTCCTGTCTACTTCCTGCCATGGTGTAATGGATTAACCCTCTAAAACTTTAAGCAAGCCCCAAATAAATGTTTTCTTTTATTATAGCTACCTTGGTCATGGTGTTTCCTCACAGCAATAGAACAGTAGCTAAGACAGTGCCCCATCCATTTAAAAAATGTGCGTGCGTGCACACACAGACACGCGGACACACACACACACACACACACACACACACACACACACACACACACACACACACACACACACTTAAAATAACAAACATCTAGTACCTGGTTCAACTTGAGTCCCTTGTAAGGGCCATATATCGAAGTAAAGGTATGTTCTGTACTTCTTGAGTTAGCTCCTCAACTCTAACTCAGGTAAAATTTTGGAGGACATTGTTCAGTCTGCATATGAATATAATCCATTATTGGTATCTTTTCCTAGAAGAATTTCATTTCAACTGGAAGCTGGTTTGTTTGGTTGTGGAAATGGGAGTAGGTGAAATGAAAAATGTCCAGTTTCAAACAGTTTTGATTATGCAGCACATCCAGGTTTGAATTCATGATGAAAATTGTAAAGAACTAACATTGTAGCCCACTAATGTCATTTGCTTATATTACTATTACAAAAAGTGCTTCAAATGCATTCTTGTTCACAGATTGCTACATTAATTCTTGGTTACTTTTATGGTAAAGAAAGTAATGATTAGAAGCCTTATTATGCAAATATACAAGCATATATGTATATAGCTATATACTTATGTATTGAAATCCACTCTGCTTTATGTATTAGTACATAGAGGACTCATATATACATGTGTGTGCTCATGTGGCTGATTTATATGTTCCTCAGTCTAGTTAGGATGTATTATAAAAGAAAGACATTCTATTATTTCTGTTGTTTCATTCTTAATGCATTCCTTGCACATATTCCATTAAAAGAAGATGAAAAGAAACAAATTTATGAGACAGATCAGGTGTTCACACTTTCATAGAGTAGTAAAGTGAGATGGAGTTTTATTCTGTTGTGTTTATTTTATGTGGCATCAAACATTTTTACATAAAACTTTATCATGCTTATTTTAGTACTTTTATTTTGATTCAATAAATAACTGATGCATATTATTTTAACAGAGATAGTTCTGACTGAGCTGAATAAATTTAATGAAACCTTAAGAAATCTGCATCTATGTTAAAAAACCACTGAATCACTGACGCTGAGATTAAATGTAGCTCAATATAGATTAGTATCTCATTGTCTCCCACCGTTTCAGAGTTACATACTTTTCTACTTGTTTTGGATAATATTTGTAATGTCCATTAGGAACCAACAAATTTGCTTTCATGTTGCAGTATGTGTTTGTTATGCCTAATTGAATATTATGCATATTAGTAACTATGTATACGATTATTAGCACATTTATATGTATAAGAATAAAGAATATAAGGACTGGATTTTAAAGTCTCCTTTACATTTTGATTGAAAAATAATGTAAACTGGGTAGTAAAAGATAAAAATAACTTTTTTACTCAGATATTTTTGTTTATTAAAATGTATATTTTTATACTTGGCATTTTATGGAGTTTATTGGGTCATCACAATTATTTTAATATTTTGTGGGTTTTTCGTTTTTTAATTTCCCTTGAGAAATACCATTATATACAGCAGAATTTATATAGCAGTTGATATTTTTATGGGATGTAGTTGTCATGACCATGTAGCCATCATTGCATGTATCACTAGAATGAGGAAAGACGTTTTGAGACAAATAGTATTTAAGTTGTTCTTTTAATATAAGACTTCTAAAATGCATTTAATCCTTTTATGAGTTAATACACATATTAAATGGTACATTTATTTTAATCAAGATGCACCCCCCACTTATTAATGCTTAGCACTTAACTATTCTGTCTCTATGAAATAGTTTCTTGTTTTCAAGAGATTCTTGGAAGGTAGTATTTACAAACATTACTAAATAAATCCACAATGTAAACTATACCAAGAACATGCCTAGAAAATACATTAACTGGAACAAATGATACAAATCCCTGAATTAGTACAGGACTGGCATATAATGTTAGATGCATTTTTTTTTTGCTGAAAATTAAGAAATCATTCAATTTGTGATGACATTAGTTGTAAATGGGTATTTCTTTTTCACCTTCCAGTTCCCAAATAACCACACAAAAGCTTATATTAATTACAAATGTTTGGCAGATAGCTCAGGCTTATTACTAACTAGCTCTTACATTTAAATGAAACCATTTCTACTAATCTATGTATTGTCATGTGGCTTGTGACTTGTTAACTCATTTCTACATATCCAACTTTCCTGGCAACTGGCTGACTTCTCTCCCACCTACACCGCTCTTCATCCAGTCATCAGTTTGATTGTATCACCTAACTTTATTCTGTCTTGCTATAGGCTGAACAGTTTTTTTTTAATTAACCAGTGAAAGTAATACTTATTCACAGTGTACAGAAAGATTAACCCACAGCATTTAGTTCTAGATAAAGCATTAGCTGGGGCTAATCCAGATTACTAGCATGTTGCCCTTGACCTGGGAGAAATTTGTTACCCAAGAAAACTTCACATGACATTGAGTTCCTCATTGACTGAAAACTCTAGACTGGGAAGTCATGTGATTTATAAAACCCACTGAAAGAATTGCACAAAGAGAGGAGGCTCTGTTAGGACTGTCAGTGTCTACAACACGGGATGCATAAGTCTTCACTCACTGTGTATTCTTTTTGAGATCACAGGGCAGCATGGCAAATGCCACCGATATTTGAGGAGCTTCTTAATGACCAGTCATTAAGTGAAAAAGGACCAATAGTGCAAAATTATCTTATGAATTTTGATTGCTGAGAATAAACATTTTATACTCAAACCTAATATAGTGTCTATTGGTTAATATAGTTCAAAAACTGATCTTAATATATGTATGTTTGCATAAATGTATGGGTACTTTGTCTTTCAGGCTTTTATTACTCAGCCATTTGTGATGAAGTTAATGTCTTAAATATCAGTTAACATTATTATCTTAAGCTAAGTAAATTATAATTTTAAGTAAAACCAATTTCATTTGTGAATTCTTGCTCAGCACTGCCTGCTGAATACAGTGCTGAAGCTATTGCATTGGAGCACCTTGGGTACTGGCTGCAAGTTCATAGTTTTGAATCAATGAGTCAGAAATCACCAGCTTAGTGACACCTGATCTATTCTTGAACATTTTGGTTTATTATGGCCCTAGTATAATTATTTTTAAAATCCCAGGTGTTTCTAATGTCTAATCCAGGTTATGAGCCACTTATCTAAACATGAGTATATGTCTAGGACTTCCATTATCTGACTTTTAGGTGGTAACAGCAATGCTTAGTTGTGTCTATCAATAAGAAGGCAACAAGGACATGAGAGAAAGGCTGGAATTGAAGGCTTCAGGAAAATTTAATATCTGAAATAGGCTTGAAAAGTTATCTCTTAGGACTGGAGAGATGTTTCAGCAGTCAAGAGTACTACTGCTCTTCATAGGACCTTGAAGCCAATTTCCAGCACTCATGTGGGGCATTGCAGAACCAACTGTAACTACAGCTGCCAGGGATATGATACCCTCATCCTTCTGGCTTACGTGGGCATCCACACAAGCTTCATTCACTCACACATAATCACACACATAAACATGATAAAAATAACACATGATCTGTCAGTTTCAGTTCGAGAGTAGAAAGTGTGCTAGACAGGAGAAATGCTGAAGGCATGCAAATATTTAGGACTAGATGCATTTAAGGAATTACTAATCAGCTTTGGTGCTAAAGTGATGGTTTTACTATTCCTGAATTGTAATCATTTTTGTACTGGGTGTGCACTTGGTAGGAAACATGCATGATTTCTTTAATTTACAATTACATACTAAGTAATGATTAGGCTAATAA